AAAAAAAAAAAAAAAAAGGAAAAAAAAAATCACATTTTTCCCTGCGAAAACCTGGAACTGGTGGAGCTGTACGTACTAAAACCTCAGTATCTTCTCAAACACTATATGTGCATCTTCCCGACACATACACCTTACCTGAAACAAAACAAATACGAAAGAATCAACAGGAAGTTTTTGTCCAGAGAATTCAAATAGTGCATTTGCAAATAAACCTCATAAAACAATTCACATCTTGTAAATTCAAAGTTTCTGATATGAATGTTCCTTAAACAAATATGCGCCATTAATCTAGGGGAATTCAGATTTTTCGTCATTCAAACCACATTTTATCCTCTAAACAAGGCTATAGAGAGTTTTTTTCTTTTTTTTTTTTTTTTTTTTTTTTTTAATACCAATGCATAACAAACGGTTACTGCACAAATTGTTGGAAAATGTACATAAGAGAAAGAGACTCATCCATCGCCAAATCATAACCAATATCTATAGAACATATAGTTGAACAATAAACTTGGCAAGCTATATCAAAAACATATAAACACATAGTAAATTCAAGCTCACCTTTATTCCATATGAATGACTATAATAATTGCGCCACATGCACACTAAAGCTTGAGCAAACTTGAAAGTCAATTATATCACTTCTAATAATAATACTAAAAACAATAATAAATCATGTGAATATACCCAAATAACAAACCTTCCATGCCGCTGGGCCCGCGCAGCCGGTCAAGGCTCCGTCAAAATGACCATGGCTAAAAGGTCGGACACAGGCTAGATGTTTCAAAAGATTTACCTGCGCTATGCTGGCTGGGGGTCCTCCATCTTCGGTGCAGATCTGCTTGGTCACGGCCGCCACGTCGGATTATGTCGGGGATTTGAACAAGGTGGCGCGGGGTCTCCCCGACAACTTTTCAAGAGCATTGGGGTTAGTAATGTGTACAATGACCTGCTGGCGTTCCTGTCCAGGAAGTCGATGGGAGGGGTCGTGACGCAACTGATGCACTTCCTGTCGGAGGAGGATCTGGGGACGGACCTCTTTTTCACAGCGCCGCTTTTTGTGATCCTTGTGCCAATGAAGCCGTCAATGTTAATTTTGGTCCGCTAAATCGATTTTAGATGTTTCGATTTTCCTTCATCTGGATTTATATTTGGGGTGGAAAAAATATTCACACTAAGAAAAAATATTTGTCAATTTTGTGAAAAATTATTCGGATATCTATAATTTGGCTCTCCCTCGCTATATTTTCATCTTACCATAATTGTCAAGGGATTGTAATTTAAAACCCTCTCACCAATGGAGGAAATTCTGCTCTCACTCAGTTCACATGGCACACTGTCCAAACATCTTGTGAGGTCATGCATGTCATCCCATCTGCTGGATAATCCTTTTCCTCACATGAAACTATGCGAAAGGTATTAGTAAAAAAAAAAAAAAAGTCAATAAACCACTACAAGCAAGCACAGGGTAATTAACAAGTAATAGGCTTACCAAAAATCAAACAAGTGAAGCTTCTATAGCACTACCTTCGTAGTCAACTAATAAACCCTTCAAAATAAATGACGAATTCACACTAATTCATAAAAATAATCGTGAGCATCATACATTTTTATTTGGGCATTATATCAAACATCTAGCCATTCACAAAAATGATAGATGGACCATTAACGAAGTTCTATACTGCCGTTGTGTTTTAGAGGGTCATATCTCCCTCACTGTAATTATATGTTACCAGAACACATAATAGAAGTGGAAGACAGTGACACATGAGGCGACAGCCGCTGACCTTTGTCTTCCGCTGGAGCGGAGTGGCCCTTTACACCATCCTCAGAGCTTCCGCCATCGAAGCATCCCTGACAAGATCCACCTGCAAAAAGTCCATCGAAAAAAAAAGCAAAACAAATTACACACGATGTCACATTTTACACTGAAGACAGAAAAATGGAAATGTAGGCAGCCTTGGTCTTTCGCGACCAACAAACCCTCTCCGCCGTCGTTCACTGCGTCCTCGACCCTATGAATTACCATTTCTGGAAAATCAGTCCAAGGGTTTAAATTACCATTTCTGAAAAATCAGTCCAAAATTCAAAAATCTAGTCAGTTTTTGTGACTAACATTTTTTTGTTAATATGGAATCAACTATATTCCATATTTTACATAAAATACATCTCCAAAAGATCCGATTTTATATTATAACAAAAATTATATCAATTAAATCAAAATACTACTTTTTGATTGATTATATGTCAATTTTTTTTTAAAAAAAAAAATGTGTGAAATAAAAATTATTTTTCAATAATATTGATAAAAATGTAAATCGGACTAGTATATTGCCCTTTTTTTATCGATGTTATAGCAAAATTATTGTTTAAAAACATGAGAAATATATGATGATATAAAATTTGTTTGTTTATAAGATCATTTTAGAGAATTCTCAAGCTATAAAATATCAATAAAAAAACATGTAAATACCATTGTTTTCATATCAACCTTTTTTTTTTTTCAAATTCTTACAGGTAAATTCAAACTAAATTTTATTCATTTTTTATAAAATTTGGCCATGTTTTATTAATTCCAATTACCAACTAAAGAAAAAAATCGAATTAAGATCTCCAGTTCAAAACTTTAATGAATTTGTTACCTAATCTATAAGATATATTTACAAAAGCTTAATGAAAGAGTTTACGTATGAGAGGAGTGTTAATCATCAAATCTGCAAAAATGCATTTCCTATCTATAGCACACGTCAACTCATTGATAAAATGTTATCTAAAAGAAAGGTCCATAAATCAATCTTTTGCTTGTGTGGGGTGCTCTCAAGTCAGTTTGTTGTACCGATAAATTGTATTTGAAACTTAGGGTTGTCCACGTATTTGAATGCAAATTGGATGTCAAATACAAGAACGGTTTACAAATTGTTTTTCATGACGAGAGGTAATTTCTTTTTTACTTTTCATCTTATTTTCAGAATTAGCGGTGTATGTTTAAGTCTATTATATATATTTAATTAATGTGTGTTGCATTTTTCTACATCATGTAGGGCAGACGCATAACTAAGATGATTTGTCCAATCAATATTCTAGAATTTTGAGAATTTCTTAAAGAAGACTAAATGTATGCAGTTCGCAACTATCAAGCTAATAGCAATCAAGCAAGCAATGTCACTGAATTGATAATACACGCTTTGTTGATAATACTGTATGGGGATCCAATGATGCACAATCATTGTTTCGAAAATTTCTGGCATCAATCCTTTTAACATGACAACTCATTTGGTGGCAAACCACTTGTTTTTTGTGGAGATTTCCGACAAATCCTTCCTGTCATTCTGAAGGGTAGCTACCAGGACATAGTGAATGTTGCGATTAATGTTTTTGACATATGGAGAAGTTGCACTGTGCTCAAACCTATGAGAAACGTGTGTGTTCATAGCCTTACAGATTTAAAAGAACGCGAAGAGGTTGTTTAGTTCACTGAATGGATAACAAGAATAAGAGATGGAACTATAGGTGGTCCAACGATTGTTGTGCAACCTGGAGATATATTGTTTGAGCTCTCTGATGATCCGATTGCTCAAATCGTTGAGAACACGTATCCAATGTTTAAGCGGACAATTGGTTATCCCATTTATTTGAAGGACGAGGCTATATTAGCACTGAAATTGGATGTTGTTGAGTTTATAAATGATTACATGGCATCTTTTAATTTGTTTGATGGCCATACGTACGCAAGTTCCAATAGTATGTGCAAGTCGGGCTCCAATAACGATTTTTTGTTGATCTCCACACGCCCGAGGAGTTGAATAATATTAATGTTTCGGTAATTCCATGTCATCATTTGTATTTGAAGATTGGTACTCCTATCATGTTGTTGCAGAATGTAGATTATTCTAAAGGTCTATGTAATGGGATACAGTTGGTTGTGACCAAACTCTTCACTCATGCTCTCGAGTGTAAGATACTTACTGGGATCACGCAAGCGAGAAGGTGTTGATTTCTAGAATGACGACAACTCCTTCCGAAGACATAATTATTTTCAAGTTCCAACGACCACAATTTTCCATTATGGTTTCTTACGCCATTACTGTAAAAAAGAGTCAGAGACAATCTTTATCGCATGTCGGCTTCTTTCTTAATAACCCAGTTTTCGGTCATGGCCAGTTCTATGTTTTTATCTCATGTGACACCAACCGAAGTGGTTTGAAAATATTAGTCTGCGGTAATGATAGATCACTAACAAATCAAGTAGAAAATGTTGTGTACTAAAAAGTAATCAATAATTTAGATATTTTAGTTTTTCTGCGTCCCGTTTATTTTTTTACATATATATGTATATATATATATATACATATATATAACAAGACTATTAATTCAAATATTAAAGATGCTAAACATTCCAGTTAATTACATTATCCCGTGCATCACACAGGTCATTGCTAGTTCTATATGTTATATGTGTGTATGTGATATTTAAAATTAAAAGTTACATAATGAGTAAATAATATTTTTTAAATTTTATCATTAGCAAAAATGAGAGATATAAATATAAATATAAATTGTTAACGTACGCATTAATCTTTATATGAATTGCAATAATATAATTTTTGCAACCTTTGATTAAATAAACAATATTAAAATTATTATTATTATAGCGATTGTGCAAGAAATTTTAAAAAGTTTGGTTTTATCATAAAAATAATTAACAAATGTTTATAAAAAAAGTTGCTTAATGAGTTAAAACTAGAAAAAAATAATAATCCTAAATAAATAGTTTGAAAAAAAAAGTTTCAAATTATAATATCATTCAACGCAATTTTATGATTTATTAGTAGTGGTTGTTATATAACAAAATAAATAGAAAATATAATATAAATTCTTTATTAAAGCAAAAGTAACGGGAAATGGAGGAAAAACTTAAAGAGTTTTATTTAATTTGTTGCTAGCAATTATTTATACACGGGAAATGGAGGAAAAACTTAAAGAGTTCTATTTAATTTGTTGCTAGCAACTATTTATACAGATGCTCAGTATAAGTGTGTTTCACATTTTAAGTTTTTTTTGGAGAGCCCAAATATATTATTAAATCAATTTTAACTATCGAACCTTGTCGGCCGACATGCCAATAATACTAGATACCGATGGTCTGGTTGGTAGGGTAACATCTAGATATTATTTTGGTCAAAATATCAGTTCAAACCCGTTTCATTTAAAAAAAAATTAATCAAAAAATACAAAATACCTATTTTTTATTTAACACGTGGAAATAGATGGTAAAATCGATTGAACCGCGTACTGGTAGCTCGTGCGGTATGATTGTTGGTACGTATATAAAACACTCAAATAAATAAAAATACATGGAAATAATAATAATAATAATAATAATAATAATAATAATAATAATAATAATTTAAACACGTCTTCACGAAATATACCAAATAAACTTGAAGGACATCATATAACTTTCCAATCAAGACTTGAAAATTAGGGGCGTCACATTAACCGCTGTCCAGCTGTTGAGTGAATCGCACGGCTACGGTTTCGCAATTTCTCATCCAACGGCAATCCGACGTTCCCCTAATTCACTTGGAACTAGGATTAGGACTAACCAAAAGTACCATCTACAAAAGCTTCATTCATATATAATAGGCAAGTCACCAGAAAGGAAAAAAAAGAAGCAACAATAATAATAAGAAGAAGAAGAAGAAACAAACAGACATGGCATCCAAGGAACAGAGAAAGGCCTTCCGGCGAGGGGAGGCGGTGGAAGTGGCCAGCGCCGAGGACGGATTTGTTGGATCTTACTACGAGGCCACGGTCGTGACTGACTTTCCAGGCGGCGACTACATCGTCCGCTACGAGTCTCTGGTGAAGGACGACCTCTCGGGGCCGCTCAGGGAGGTGGTCTCCGGCGCTGAGGTCCGACCGAGGCCGCCGAGGGTCACGGCGGAGCAGCAGTTCCGGCTGAACGACGTGGTGGATGCTCACGACAACGACGGGTGGTGGGTAGGGAAGATTACGGGGCGGGCCCCAAATGGGAACTATTACGTCTACTTCGACAGCACGGGCGACCTGATTGCTTACCCAAAGGCTCGCCTCAGGATTCATCTCGAGTGGGTCGCTGGGAACTGGATTTGTTTTTCTCGTTGATCTGAATTTTTATTGTGTAGTGAACAGTGATGGATTTTTTTCTTCTAATCTAATGTTTTATTTTTTTTTTTTTATTTTGCTCATTTTATTCCGCTTAGATATATTTCTTGATGATGGTGTATTTTTCATGATTTTTGTGTTTATTTCTTTTTTAATTAACAGTACCGTCCAAATTGTTCTTGCAAAGTTTGAAATTCGATTTATATTTTGTTCTGCAATAATAAATAGATGGACAGCAAGCTCCTTAACATAAATGCTATATTAGGAACATATAAGACGAACGTTTACAAACATCACATCAGACGGATTCTAGGTTACACAAGAATCTATATATATATTAAAGCGGAGCAGCTGCCAAATTCCCGCTCAAAATCTACATTAAATGTTTGCACATTATTTGATAACTAATCTCTTCTTAAATTTTGCATTAAATTTTCACTTAGTATTAAATTTGAGAATAATGAATACATTTGTTTCATGTATGTTAGGAAACCGTGCATAGCTCCTAATTTTTGTCTATCATGTTTAATGTACACTTAGTTAAGTAGCTTGGGAAAAAAAATCATCCAAAACTATATTTATCATTTAGATAAAAATTTTGACAATTTCTAAGTATGATATAATTAAGTTTATATTTAATTGTGCATTGGGACTTGCACGTGGAAAATTCAAACAAAAAAAAAAAATTATTATGTGTACAAAAACTTAATTAAAAAATAGAATTATCATTATAGATAGTTTATGTATAATAATTCAAATATATTATGTTATTTTTTATAATCATATATAGAGTGAAAATAATATACACAAAATATACTTTAAGGTGGTTATCTATTTTAGTTATAATAAAAGGGCTCCAATAGTTTACGACTTAATAGAATAACATGCTAATTATTGGTGATATTTTCTAAATATCTAAAATTTAATACAAAATTCATTCACATGGTTAGTAAAAAATTGCAAACTTACACAACTAAATTTCATATTTGTTTATTTTTATTTTATTTTCTAATAAATTATTTTAAAAATAATAAAAAAAGAAAGATAGAGAGAGAAAGAATGGAGTTATATCTGTTATAAATAAAGTAATTTATTCTAAAAGGAATAAAATTTTTAAAATAAAATAGAATAAAAAGCACCATCTATAGGCATTAAGGACGAACTTGCATGTCCATATGAAATATATATCTAAAACACAAAATAACAATTATATGGTCCAAAAAAAATTATTAATTTAGGTTCTTTTAAAAATATCAAC